AAAAATTAAAAAAAAAAGAAAAAAAAAAGAAAGAATAGGAGAAATGTAATAAAAATGAAAAGGTAAAAAACGATGGCCGCCATCACACTCTGGCGACGTCGAGGTTAAAACACGAAAAGATGAGAAAGGAGGAGACATTCTATACAAATCTAGTGAAAATATTCAAATAAATATTAATGAATAATTATTTGTAATTATATTATTATATATATTATTATAATTATTGCAAAGTGAAATTAATATAAAAAAAAAAGAAATTATAACGTTGCGTTCGGGACAAGTGGTAAAGTCTAGATATAACAATGGTGCACTGGTTCTTTTCTTCTTTTCTTCTCTCTCTGTCGTCGTTGGGAAACAACGTTGATTTCCGGTTGGGACGAGGAGAGGAAAGATGGAACTCTATGCACTCTATGTATAGAATTCTTGTTGGACGAAGAAAGAACGTCTTTTTTTTTTTTTTTTTTTTTTTTTTTTTTTTTTTTTTTTTTTTTTTTTTACGAGAAAATCGTGATAAAATTTTTTGATTCTTCGAACTCTCGATCAAGCGGAGAGAAATTAAAATATATTTATCGCGGTGTTCGATCGGTTATGTTAAGAGATAAGAAGAAATACGAAGAACAGGGAACAGGGTTTTTTTTACCGCGAAACAATTATGGACCAGTAAATCGACCTTTTTGAAAAACTGATCGGGGAGTTCCTTCCGAGTTCGACAAAGAGGAGCACCCTTACGTTGTAAGCCTTACCTTGTCGAATCAATGTGACTTATCGCTAAATAATAGTCTTATGACGTTGTCGACGTTATCCTTTCCGCAAGGAGAGCTTGATCGACACCACGATTCGTTCTTTTAACTTTATCGATATTAAGACAGTATCTAATTAATGGGGTGATGAAATCCTGCGAAGCTACACAGAATTATTTATAGAGAAAAATAAAATAAATTTACGATTGTTAATTAGACAAAAGGAAGGAGAGGGGGAAAATAGAAAAATTTGAAAGAGAAAATAATTCTCTTCCAAATTCCATCGAGTATCGATAAAATTACAGAACGAATAACGTATTCGAATTAAAGAGTACATTTACGTTTTCTTACTATTATTCTTAGTACTGTATTTACGTTGTTCGCTATTGTAAAGAGAGAGAGAGAGAGAGTGTGTGTGTGTGCGTGTGTGCGTATGTATAACGAGCAGCCTCGAGGCAAGATCGTTTTAAGATTACGTGACATTTTTATTTTTTATTTTTATTTTTATTTTTTTTTTTATTTATTAGACTAGCCCACTGTAATCAATTAAACAGACTCAATAATCTATCGATTTTTATCTTAATGATCTTATACGTACGATGAGCAAAATAAAATAGAAGAGATAAAAATAGAAGATTGCGTTTGGCCAAGCTGTCTGTAACAACGATCAACATGAACTTCATGAATTTGTAAACAGTTGCATCGGAAAAGAAGAAGGAAACAATATGCTTTTCGCGTAATAATAAAAGTGATATCCGCATATCTGTTGCATAAAAGATGGAGCAGGTGTTTATGTAATGATTTGATTGAGAAAACAAGAGGAATTGGAAGAATGAGATTCGCGAAATTTTTGCAATTTTTTTCTTTCTTTTTTATTTTTTTTTTTTTTTGTTTTACATGTTATTCCAATGAGAATGAATGAGAAACGATGGAAATATTGTGACAAAGGAATTTGAAGTTGTAAGAACGAGGAGGAACTCAAAGTCCCCCACAGAGCGATGAAGTTTTTAAACGAAAATGTTAAATGAAATTCACGATGAGGCTGTGAAAATATTGTGCGTGCAATTGTAAATTCTTTATTAGCCATCCCCCTTTTTCTAGAATTCGGAAACCCCTATCTTTTAACCCTTTGCCCTTGATTCCCCTCTTGTTTGCTTTTTTTTTATTCTTTTTTTTTTTTTTTTTATTTTTTTTTTTTTTTGTTTTACATGTTATTCCAATGAGAATGAATGAGAAACGATGGAAATATTGTGACAAAGGAATTTGAAGTTGTAAGAACGAGGAGGATCTCAAAGTGCCCCAAAGTGCGATGAAGATGTTAAACGAAAATGTTAAATGAAATTCACGATGAGACTGTGAAAATATTGTGCGTGCAATTGTAAATTCTTTATTATCCATCCCCCTTTTTCTAGAATTCGTAAACCTCTATCTTTGAACCCTTTGCACTTGATTCCCCTCTTGTTTGATTTTTTTTTATTCTTTTTTTTTTTTTTTCTACGATTTTATATATTTTTAAAATCTTGTATTCAATCAAAACGATCTAAAAATTTTGTACATTTTCTAGCAAATTTAAAGATATTGTGATTTTTAAATTTGAAGAAAAACACTTTTTACAAGATTATTAAAATATATCTACAAAATTTATTTACACGTGTAAATTCCAATTCCATGCTACATTCATTTCCTCATTTTTACAATATCTCGAGAGCGAAGGGTTGAATCATCGATCCAACGAAAATGGAAAAAACCATTCTTCACGAATCCACAATTAACCTATCCCCCAATTTATTTTTGTTAGATCCAATATGGAAATTTTCCATATCGAAACAACAATCGAACAAACTATCCCTTTCTGAGCCGATATTGTGATAAATGTTCACGATTAATATTATCGAAACATCGATCACGTGCAGACTCGTAAACTAAATCTCGTTCGATTTTTCTTTAAATCTTTCCTTTTTCTTTTTTTTTTTTTCTTTTTTTTTTTGATATAATTATAAATTATAAATCGTTGAAATATATATAGATTGATGATTCGAATATATATATATTGATTGAGTATCAAAGTTTTAAGAACGCAAACCTAAAAGAAGGAGAGCAGAAAGGAGAGTAATAGGGTATTCTTAAGAGAATAGTTCCTCCACTTCAAACAAAGACAGGTGTCGGTGCGACGAGCTTTTGTTGGCAGACTGCACGTGGCCTTAATAGCTTGATGATAGCTGACACCTTCGTTTTCAACCCTTTGGGATCAACGACCCGATCTTTTTATTACTTTATTATCAAGTTTTAAATTCTTTTCTTTAATAATGTAATAATTTCTCGAATATTACGTGTAACGTAATTCCAGTGCAGTACAACCTTCAAATAGCATCTGGCTCTTTAATTGAGCCAGAAAATTATCTAAAACGAAAGGATTGAACGATCACAGGATTATTTTGTAGAAGGATTATAGAGGATCAATATCGATGTAATAATCCATGCAATATTTTATTATTTTTGTCCCTTTTTTTTTTCAATATAATAATAATAATAATAATTCCCAAAGGGGCGAATTTAGAAAACGAAGGAGGAAAGCTGCGAATCCATTTGAAATTTCTTCGAATCTATCTCGAGATTTATTTTCTATCGTTGAATATTGAGAATGATTATTTGATCATTTTCTGACACTGTACCGAGAATTGCTCCCGATCCAGCGTTCGTTTGCAAAAGGGAGCTTTACTCTCAAACGAACGTGGATATGTGCCATAGCGTGAATGTGGCTGAAATTATTATTCTTGCAAGCAGGAGACTCACGAATTATGCTCTTTATTCTCAAAACGATATATTTGCAACGTGCAAATGTCGTAAATTTACACAAGCGTATATATATATATATATATATATATATATATACATATAGGGTGAAACC